AACACCCTGATCTATACTTCTACTTACTTCTTCGTAGAACGCAATCAAGTTAGTTTGACATGACCTGTGCTTCATAAAACCATGCTGATTTTTGCTGATAACTATGTTCTTCTCAAGGAATTCTTGAATATTATTCCTTAATAACCTTTCAAATATTTTACCAGCCACAGAAGTTAAGCTCACAGGTCTATAATTTCCAGGCAAGGATTTTGAACCCTTTTTGAATATAGGAACCACATCTGCCTTCCTCCAATCCTCGAACACTTCCTGAATGAAAAGAATCTTTAAAAGATTAACCCCTCATGGACCAAACGCCTGGAATAGGCAGTGGGAATCTCGCGATATGTCAGATATGTCATGTGTCCTTAAGTGGGTTAAATTACATAGGTTCACTTTATTTTGCTGTTTAGCTCTAAGTACTCGCGGGATGTCTTTGTTTATGGCTAATCTCTTTTAGTTGCTGCAGCAATACTGTCTTGAAAGCGTAATTCAATTAAATTATTCTAGTAAGTTTTAGTAGTAAATTATCGCTACGGAGGTAAGCGTCAAAAAATTCATGTACTTTTCCTGGTCTTCATTAACCAATCCCGCTTCAGTTTTAGTGTACCTGTAATCTTTCATTTTAGTTTTTTAAATTTTATGTACTTAAAATGCCTTGGGTTGGTTTTGCTCTCTTTAGCTATCATTTTTTCGTTTTAAAGTTTAGCAGATTTAATTGCTTTTTTGCACGCATTATTGGCTTCCTTATATCTTTTATAAGATGCATCTGATTTGTCCGAATTAAATGCTTTAAATGCCCTTTTCTTAGTTGTAATCTCTTGTTTTACTTCTCTACTAAGCCACATTGGTCTTAATTTGTTTCTTTTATACTTATTGCCCAATGGTACATACTGAGAAATGTACCTTTCTAATATTTGTTGGAAGATGTTCCATTTATCCTCCGTGTTCTCTTCACTAAAGAGTTTATGCCTTATTGAAATTGGCCTTTTTAAAATTATATGTTTTAGTATACCCCATGTGCTTTTGTTTTTTTGAGTTTATTTCAAAGGACTCTATATTGTGATCACTATTTCCCAAGTGCTCACCTACTTGAATGTTGGTCAAAAGATCAACGTTGTTTGTTAAAACCAGGTCCAGACAAGCGTCCATTCTAGTTGGTGCTTGTACAAGTTGTGACATGAAGGTGTCATTTAACACGTTTGAAAACCTAATTCCCTTTGCTTAGCTGCTAGTCCCTCTGTCCCAATTTATCAATTAAAGTGTTACCCAGATTTGCAGCTTTCACCATTTGCTCAAACAGCTGTTGTTCCTCGTCAATATTAACATTAGGTGGTTTATAACATATACCAACCAATAGTTGATTTTCATTCTTTTCCCCCAAGCAGATATTTACCCATAAAGCTTCCACATTTTCCTCATCACATTCCACTTGCTTAAGATTTGGCTGTAACTTGTGGTTGACATACAAACATACCCCACCACCCTTCTTGTTTTTCCTATCCTTCCTAAATAACATGTACCCATTTAAGTTAACTGCCCACTCATGTGTCTCATCCCACCATGTTTCAGTTATGCCTATTATGTCATATTGTTTAGTGTATGCTATTGCATATCTAGTTCCCCCATTTTGTTATTAGGGATCCTTGCATTAGTAAGCATACATTTCATATCATGGGTCACTTTTACTTTTTGTGAATTATCAACATTACATACCTTCTCTGTTCTGAGCTTGCCCCTCCCCCGTCTTCACCCCCCTTAAACTGAGCTGAAGCCCATCTCCTTTCTAATACTAGTTTAAAATCTCCTCCAACCTTCTAGCCACCCTATCCCCCAGCACTGCAGACCCTCTCCCATTTAGGTGCAATCCATCACTACTATACAGGTTGTACCCAAGCGCAAAGTAGGCCCAATGCTCTAAAACCCCCCAAAAACTTCAGCCACACATTTACCTCTTTAATCTCCCGCTGCCTTGCTCTGATCACTTGAAGCTCATATTAAACACACCAGTCACTTTATACACTGATCAGCACTCATACAATACACATTTCAGTATGTACCTTGTTAGGCTTATTTTTAGCCAGAAAGTATAAATACTTGTGACTTGAATCCTTTACTGTGTAGAAAGAGGCGAGGGGAAATCATGTTCAAGTTTGTTGCAGATTGTATCATTGTAGAATTAGTTCCTCACTGAGATGTGTTTCTCTAAAATCTGGTCACCCCTATAAATGTATAAATGTAGCTAAGTAAGGGATATGGACAAAATTACAGTTTGCAAAACCAAATGAAATTAAGTTGTGATAGAGGAGTTAAAGCACCCAAAAGGTCCTTCTCAATCAGTATGAAGCTTCATAGTCGGATTTCAGATCTT